CCGCCGCCGCCGCCGCCGCCGCTGCCGCCGCCGCTGCCGCCGCAGCCGCTGCCGCTACCGCCACGCCGCCGCCGCCACGCACGCCCCGCCGCCGCCGCCGCCGCCGCCGCCGCCGCAGCCGCCCCAGCCGCCGCGGCCGCCGCCGCCGCCGCAGCCGCCGCCGCAGCCGCCGCCGCCTCCGCCAAGTGTATTCTGTATTGTTTTTTGACAGGGATGGTGGGGGGGGGCGCATCGGGTTGGCTGCGCGTGTTCCGAAGTTGGAGGCAGAGTGTGTTTTGTATGGTTTTTTTTGGAAAAGGGATTGTGGGATGGTGTCGTCATGGACCTGGGTTGGCCCTCAGTCGCCTGGGGGAGGGGGTGTTTATTAACAGGGAACAGTGTTAAACCTTTCCCCGAAGGGGAAGAGTGGTTTTTGGAAGAGGAAGGAAAGTCATCGTTAGACCACCTGCGCCCAGAGGGCTGGTGGGATTAATAACCCAGGTGTAAATACACGCATTACGATTATCACCACAACCTTCAGTATTTCGATGACTACCACAACTCATGTTACGATCACAACCAGGATTAACAGTGCAAGTGTGATTCTCATAGCCAGGATTGACAGTCACAATCCCACCACATCCAGATACCTCCCACAGTTACCACTGCTCTTACTTTCTGCTACTTCTGCTATTCAGGTCCTGTTGCTGTTCGTACTGCAGTGCTGCCTGCTAGTGCAAGGTCTACGAGCACCGGTGCGATGTCATTGATATGTCGGCTTCTGCTTCTGCTGCAGATGCTACTGCTGCGCGCCACCAGCTCGCCCTCGCGGGCCATGGCTGCCGCCGGGCGTCGGCGCCGACGCCGCGTCGCGTCGCGCCGTCGTGCCTTCTCTGGCCCGAGGAGTGGAGTGACACGCCCCTTGGTGGGCTGCATTTTGCTCCAGTGCGCCGGTCTGGCCACGTGTGCGTGACTGCGTCCTCCGCGCAGAAAGCATACGGCAGGTTCGTGCGGCGTTGGCGCGCCGGCGACTCCAGCGAAGGCGTGCAGTGTCGACGTCTTATGTTGCGGAAGTACCGAAGGACGCGGTGGCGCCACCCTGGGCCCTACGGAATTCAACCTCGAACGATCGGGGCCGCGATCGACTCAAAGTTGAACGATCGACGCGGTGTCCAAAGCCCTTGCGTGCGCCGACGCCGCACGAGCCCGCCGTATCGGGTCGCGGGGTGTCCGCGCCTGGCGCCGAAGTCGTCGGCTGCCGCTGCAGGGTATGGTTTGGTCGCGGCGCTGGCGGTCGCTCAGCGCGAGGGGGCCCAGGTCGGGTGGCGAGAAACGGCAGCTGAGCGCCAGGGACGCGGGAGGAGAGGAGGGCGGCCGCGGAGAGGGGACGGCGGGCAGGCGAGGCGATCTGGGCCCGAATTCCTCCTCCTCCTCCCCCTCCTCCCCCTCCTCCTCCTCCTCCTCCTCCTCCTCCTCCTCCTCCTCGTCGCTATGCACGCGACCTGGACCTGGAGCACGGCGACGCTGTTTCAGTGAGTGGGCTCCGCGCTCGCTCCGCTGAGAAATACCTTCGTCTGGGTGTCGTGGACCACCCCAGCGCCTCGAACCCTTCCGTGAGCAGGCGGGCCGCAGTTTGATGTGCCTCCTCCTCCTCCTCCTCCTCCTCCTGGCGCACGCGCGTGGACCTCACCTGCGACCAGCACGTCGACGCATGCGGCTTCATCGCAGCAGATCCGGCGGGTCGGCTTGGGGGCGTAGCTCCCGCGGAGTCGGGCTGTCGCACCGGTGTGCGCGTGTCCACCGTTCCCGGCCGGACGGCAGCCCGCAGTTTTCCCTTCACGAGGAAAGTTGTCTGTCTTGGGCTCTTGGTTGCAGATGGCGACTGTTGCGCGCTCTTCGCGGCGACGCCGCCTTCGCCGCCTTCGCGACGACGCCTGCCAGCACCGCGTTCAAGGCGGGCGGGTCCCAAGGCGAGCGCATGACCAACCCGACCGCGAAATCGAAGAACAGCGCGGCCGGGAATGCGAATCATATCGCTCTGAAGAGGAAGCCGTCGAAGTGCTGACCGCGCGCGAGGCGCCGCCGCACCTCGGCGCGCGCCAGGGGCACGGATCTTTGATTTTGTTCGGTGGTGTCGCGGCTCCGTTGATATTCTTGTGCTCCCGACCATCCTTTGGAGAAAAGAACGCTCATATTCTCGCCCGTCCTTCGCTGCTTGTGCGCGCTGCTTGCGCGCGCTCTCTCTGGACCTCGAGCGCTGTAGGGCGTGGCCGCGTACCTTCTAGGTGCTTCGGGGCCTTTCGGGGGGCCTCTGGGCACTCGCAACTCTACGGGCGAAAAACGGTATAACATTTTTTTTTTGGCTGTCGGCGGTGCCTGTCCCAGGGCGGCTGGGAAGTTTGTACCCTCACGGAGCCACGCAGGGGTATGAACTTTCCAGTCGCCGGGGGGCAGGCGTCCCCGACGGCGAAAAACATATTTTCTACCGTTCTTTGCCCCCGAAGAAACAGGCGCCCGTGCTTTTGGGGAACGCCTCGGCGGCCATCGGGAGGCCTCCGCGCGTCTGATCTGCTCTTTGGTCCCCTGAGAGGCCCTTGGGCTTTTGGGAAAGGCTCCTGAGTCCGTGGTAGCCTATGGGAGATGCGCGGGCTCCTCTGGGACGCGTCTAAGAGTCTTGGGAGTTCAGTTCTTCCAGGAAAGGCTTCAGAGCTTCAGATAGAGACCGCGAGACTTGCGGGAATGGTGACAGACAACCTGGGGGAGGCCACCGAGCCTGTCAGGAAAGCCCGAGAGCCTGCGGCAGTACCTTCAGAACTTTTGGGAGAGGCTTCGTAGCCTTTGGGAGAGGCTCCAAGGGAATTCGTCGAAGCTCTCGGAAATGGAGGAAATGCCTCTATGTTCTCGGTCGAAGCTCTCGGGAATGGAGGAAATATTTCGGACTCTCGGGGATTTTGGTCAGTGGGCCAAGACTGTCTCAGCGCGCTCAGCGCGCCCTGCGAATATGGAGAGTGCATGTACATATACGCATCTTTCTTTCTATATATATATATATATATAGTTGTACAAACTTGTGTAGTGTATGTATACTGAATGTATACTCGCGTCTATGCATACATATGTCTGCTTGTGATATGTACATGCATGTAAATGTTTATACACAGATATACCCCCAGAGCTGGATCTCGAATCTGTTAGGCGTAATTTGGTCAGTTGCCTGGCATTCCGCCCCGTCACACCCCGTGCCCGCTTCGGGCCAGATCCGTCCGACGGTGGGCTTTTTTGGGTCATCGCGCGGTGCCCGCCCGTACAGTCGGGGCGCTGGAGAAGGAACCCTTTTCGTTGGGGAGGGGCTCGGTGTCCCGTAAGTGTTTCGCAGTTTGCCTCAGGTTTCCCTTATGTTTTCGATCGGAGTCGAAGTTTAACTTATGGAGAAAAAGGGCCTCGTTCCTTATTTTGGGTTCCTTGGGTCAAGGCCCCGCCCGTGCCCAGCCCGCGACCTTTTCTTGCCCTGGCCGGGTGCTCCGGGTCCGCGGGCGGTGCTTGTCTGTGCCCGCCTGCTGTGTATTTTGCGTATCTCGCATCCCAGTGATCGCGCCGCGTCGATTGCAACACATACCATGTACCGCATAGATCGCCCGGCGCATACTGCTTCACATCTGTTGCAATACGTAGTCTGCGCCACATTGCTTGCGCCACAAAGGGTAGCGCACGCGCCATGCGCAGCGAAGATGGCATCGCGTACGTTGCACCCCGTAAACAGTGCCACATCGACATCACCTTCAACTTGCGCGACATATGTTGCCGCGCATAGAGCTCGCTTTTCGGAAGAAATAGAGACTCCACCTCCTTCGCCCCGCGGGGTTATCGATGCCCGTTGGGGTAGTACCATTTACGTATGATTCTATCTCCTCGCTCTTTTTACATATGAATTCATGCCACCCCTGGCGACCAGGCATCGGCCCCCCTCATCCCGTTCAAATAATACGATGCGCGCGCACTCGTCTATCTCAGAAGTCTGTTCAATCATCCCTTGCAGCAAATGGCGCATCATCCACGCTCGCCCGCACATGTCGAAGGATACACAACACCAGTTTTACGAGCATTCCAACATACAAGCAGAACAATTTCCAGGCTTCCAGAACCCACATTCTCATCCCACCGCGCGGTGCGCCCGCCTTGATCTAGCATGCGCCCAATGCAAAGATCCGCATTCTATTGTTACATGCGGGCCATGCGCGCGCTGCCACGCGCGAGTGTCGAAGTCTTTCCCGAACCAGTGGTCTTCGACGGATATCAAGATAGAGCTCTTCAAATACGGGACACCACATGTTTTTTCAACGAAACTCGACACCGCCTTCGGCAGCGCCATCGCATCGACGCTGTTACCGTCGCCGTCGATCGCCGTCACTGCCGTCGTCGTCATTCAGTCCCTTTCATCGCCGACACATGGACATCATCGTCGCCGTCGTCAGCAGCATCGGTGACATCGTGGGCCTTGCCGCCGTCACCGTCATCCTCGCCACCACCTTTGCTACTATGTCGACATCGTCCTCGCCACCGTCAGTCAGGATTGCTTGCTGAGGTATTGCCAGCCAAGTCACGGGTGGGCATGTGGGATGATTACGCGACCATGGGAGGTGGCCACGCGCGGCGCAGTGCAATCCATTGCGCCGCACGGGTGGCACCGCGTCGCCTGCACGTCGTCGTTTGCGCCCTTCATTTTGCACCGCCCAGAGTGCACCAGCACCAGCGTATGTTGCACCGCGGGGCTTGCGCCACGCGTGTGGCGCCACGTAGGCTGCACCACCATATGGTGCACCAGGTAAATCGGACCTCGCGTATGGCACCACGTATACCTTGCACTACACAGCTTGTGCCACAATGTCTACCTTGTGCGTTGCGCCACCAATATTGCGCATCGGGAGTTCAGGAACCCACTGCTTGCGGTGGCCCGCGCTGGTCAGCACTGTTTGGGTTGGTTTGTGGAGGGCTCAGGGTGTCGAAGCGCCGGGCTTCAGAAGGTGCAGTTGAACCATCTGCCGCTGCTCAAGCACCCCGTCTTTATCAGCGCCATCGACAATTTCCTCTCGCAGGAGCTCTTCTCTCTCACGTGGGAAGAGGCAGCGAAAACAGCAGGGGCGGATTCATAGGGGGGAGGGGAGGGGAGGGGAGTCTTCCTGCTCTTTCTCCTTCTCCTTCTCCTCCGTCTCCTTCTCCTTCTCTTTCATCCTCCTCCTACTCCTCCTCCTCCTCCTTCTCTTTCCTCCTCCTTCTCCTCCTCCTCCTCGTCCTCCTTCTCTTTCTTCCTCCTCCTCCTCCTCCTCCTCCTCTTCCTCCTCCTCCTCCTCCTCCTCCTCCTCCTCCTCCTCCCCCTCCTTTACTTCCCCGTTCTCCTCCTTGCCCTGGTCCTCCTCGCCCTCCTCCTCCTCATCATCTTCGTTTTTCCTGTTGAAGTTCCGTCTTAGATTCCTCCGAGGGACCATAGAGAGCTGAAATGGAGGGGGGAGGAGGACAGAGGAGAGGCGAGGAGAGGAGAAGAGAGCTGGGAGTCGGGGGGGGGACGATGGGGATGGGAGGGCGTGCAGGGGGAAGGATGGGAGGGGATGGGAGGGGGGAGAGGGCGTGGGGGGACGCGGAGAGCTGTCTTTTCCTGCGCTCTTGGAACTGCCGTCGCGACGCCCGTGTACTCTTCCACCTCCTCGTCCCTCCTTCTCTTCCTCCTCCCCCATTCCTCCTCCCTCTTCCTTTCCCCTTCTCCATCCCCGCCTGGAACGACCATCCGCTCCTCGTGCCTGTCTTCTGCCTCTCAAGCCCCTTCAGGACGAGTGCCGCAGATGGATCGACTGGGGCCTGAAGACGGGGTTCGAGGAGGCGAAGCAGAAGCAGACCGCCGAGATGGCCTTCAGGGACAACGGCCGCATCGAGTTCGAGAGCGACGAGATCGCCCAGACGATCTGGCTGCGGCTCAGGCCGTTCGTGCCCGATGCCGTCGGCTCCGCCAGCGCGACAAGGCGCGCGCTTGGCTGCTCCCCGCGCATCCGCGTGTACAGATACGTCAAGGGCCAGCGCTTCGGCCAGCACGTCGACGGGAGCCGGGACGCCCACCGCCGCGCAAGCAAGCACTCTGCTTGGCGACGCTCGGGGCACAGCCCAGAAGTCAGCAACGTGTGATACCTCTCGTCCCTGTTCCGTGAGGGGCTTTCGTGGGGCCCACCTGGGCCGTCTTGGGCTTCTGTGAAGCCATCTGGCTCTTTTGGCAGTTTCTTGGGCCTCCTGGGGCCCTCTTGGGCCATCCGTCTTCGGCCCGTCTTGGGCCCGTCTCGGCCGTCCGCGGAGTATCCTGAGGCCGTCTCAGGGGTCTCTTGGGGCCCTCTTGGGCCCGCTTGGGGCCCTCTTGGGCTGTCCTTGGCCCTCTTGGGCTGTCTTGGGGCTCCCTTGGGGCTGCCCTAGACCGCCTGGTGGGTCTCATGGTGCCCTCACTGGGCTCTCTTTGCTTCTCTTTGGCTATTTCGAGGCCCTCTCGGAACCATCTTCAGCCGAGGGCCAAATAGTCAAACACCAGAGGAATTCCTTGGCCGTCCTGGGGGGTCTCCCTGGCCTTCTCCAGTGTGTTGGGAGCCCGAGTTCCTTGGTCGTCCTGGAGGGTCTCCCTGGCCTCCTCCAGTGTGCTGGGAGCCTCTTGGGCTCGCTCTGGCGCCTCCTGGGGCCTCCTCGGAGGTTGTTGGGTGTCTCTTGAGGCAGTGCTGGGCCATCCTGGCGCCCTGGTGGCCTTCCTGGGACCTCCCTGCAAGCTATTTGTAGAGTTCTCGAGGAAGGCGTCGGAGCGGCCAGAGGACAGAATCGCGATGATCGAAATGGGTACGCCAAGAATGGGTACAAAGACCGAAAGCACATCAGGTTCATTTTGAACAGGCTTCGCTGTCCATGCCCCCGCAGGCGTTGTCCACTGAAGACAGACGGCCGCCTGCCCGACAGCAGCCGCTGGCGGTTTTGGACAACATCTGTTGTTGGGCATCGTAATTGTCAATTTTTTTCGCACCCACTTTGGGCGTCCAAACTGACGACTTGCAGAAGCCCACAGGGCAGCACTTGGCATCCTGCCACGCGTCAGCATGGAGTGGGGCGGGGTGGCGGATATATCAAGAAACATATGCATGTATGTTCATGTATGTTTATGTATCTATGTATATATGTATGGCAGCCCCCCTACAAGATCCACCTAAACGGCCTTTGCCCCAGCACATCTTTTCCATTCCCCGATGGGAGCGAGGAAATCTTCTCCAGTCGCCGATGGGCGAGCGTGAGAGCGTGAGAGCGTGAGAGTGTGAGAGCGTGAGAGCGGGAGGGCGGGAGAGCGGGAGAGCGGGAGAGCGTGAGAGCGTGAGAGCGGGAGAGCGGGAGGGCGGGAGAGCGGGAGAGCGGGAGAGCGGGAGAGCGGGAGAGCGGGAGAGCGGGAGAGCGGGAGGGGAGGGCGGAGAGCGGGAGGGCGGGAGAGCGGGAGGGCGACCATCCGGGCCCAGGCCATCCTGCCCCCGGGCCACTCGGGTCCCAGGGCCACTCGTCTCACCCGGGTGGCCCGGTTGGCGCGTCCCGCTCTCCCGCTCTCCCGCTCTCCCGCCCTCCCGCTCTCCCGCTCCTCGACTCTCTCATTCTCCCGTTCTGCCGCTCTGGGCCCGAAGAGATGAGGGGGAGGAGGAGGAATGGCGGATGGGGGGAGGAGGAGGAGGAGGAGGAGGAGGAGGAGGAGGAGGAGAGGAGGAGGAGGAGGAGGAGGAAGGAGGAGGAGGAGGGAGGAGGAAGGGCAATGAGGAGGAGGAGGAGGAGAGGCGGAGGAGGAGGAGGAGGAGGAGGAGGAGTAGGAGGAGGAGGAGGAGTGGACGTAGCCTGAGGCGCGCCGATCCGTCCTAAAGGGGGCGGCGCACTTTACAGAAGGCAGGGCCTCGCCATGGTCAAGCAGCGGACCCTGGGGAATGAGGAGGAGGAGCAGGAGGAGCAGGAGGAGGAGGAGGAGGAGGAGGAGGAGGAGGAGGAGGAGGAGGAGGAGGATGAGGATGAGGAGGAGGAGGAGGAGGAGGAGGAGGAGTGCGGAGGAGGATGAGGAGGATGAGGACGAGGACGATGAAGAGGAGGCGGTGGATGAGAATGAGGAGGAGGAGCAGGAGTAGGAGGATCAGAAGAAGAGGAGGCGGAGGAGGAGGCGCAGGAGGAGTTGGAGGCATATGAAAAGTAGTCGGAGGATAATGAGGAAAGGGGGAGGCGGAGGAAGAGGAGTTGGTAGAGGAGGATGTGATGGTAGCGATTCTGAGTGGGACGCGTTAACTTGCTGCTTGAGAAAATTATGGCAGGAAGAGAACAAGCAGAAGCATGGAGAGGAGAGCAAATTAGCAAAAGGCAGGGGTAGACAGGTTTGGGACTAGAAAGTTGCGAGAGAGTCATGCAGTTTGCTCGATGTTCCAAGAGCTTCGGCTTTCACAATATTTGTGACCCTCGCAAAAAGCTGTGGGCCTTTGGCCGAATATTTGATCCAGAAGGACACCGATGTCAATTTCTTCGGCACGCAGCAGCCCTATGCATTAATACTACCAGTTGATGCTGACAAAATGTTCAAACTTACCAGGCCTTTTGACATCCCAGGGCCGGCGGCAAGTCCCAGCGAAAGATGGCTCATGGGAGCTCGGCCTGGGGACAAATACTATTTGTTATCTGATGAAGAGCAGGAGTTTCGTCAGGCAAACTGCTCCGTTGTTTGCGCGGTGGCGGACGTCGTGGACATCGACGCCTTGGTTGCTCACGTCGATTCTGGCGTCGACCGGCGGCAGGTCCAGGTTCAAGGATATTCTCGTTTATTGGATAACCGAGGAAACGCATCCATGGAAGTCGCTGTAGACGGCGGACAGCGCTCTTTGAGGAGTCTTCTTCGGACCTACATGAAATATGGATTTGGGCGAATTCATGCTGCGGGTCCTTCTTTCCAGAAAGTTCCCCGGGAGGCTCGACGCGCCGCTCTGGTCGGCATTTTAGGAGGCGTCCTAGAACTCGACATGAAGGTTGCGTTTTTTCAATTCGTTGGTTGTGGCCTTAAAGCAGCACGATCAGCTCAACGTCGAAGCAGAGCTCCCGCTTTTGTGCAACGTTCTCAGCAACTGGGACGGATGGAAGTGTTTTGTGTCAGAGTCCTTCGACGTCGAGGTGGCCGGCGCCAAGAAGCTGCTGAGGCAACCCGCCCCTTCGGGCGTCAGTCGCCAAAGTCACAGGAGCGGCCTGATTGGCTCCCACACTTGGATTGTTTGCAGACGGAAATAGGCAATGCTTCTCGGTTTCTTCTCGAGCACGACGCTCTTTACCAGGAGGTCGCGAAGGCGCGACTAGATTGCAGCTCGCTGCACATCTTCTTCGGCGAGCTGGAGTGCAGTGTCCTGATGGACATGAAGCAACTGTTGGAAGAATCAGGTGCGGTGCCGATCTCTTTAATAATCTACGACGGTATTTACTTCAGACCCATGGGGCTCGACGTGCACGACGAGAACTTCATCGCACATGTGTCTGCAATCGAGGCCGGCCACGGCATATCTTTGCAATTGAAGGATTTAAGCGGCGCGCCGATTCCCTGGAGGAGCGCCGCTTCCGAGCCAAGCGGCCGCATTCTAGGCCGCAGTTCCTCTTCTCAGCCGCGCGAGGACGATTTCTCTTTCCGTCCTGGCGGCTGCGTGCGAGAAGTTGGAAGGCAGGGCGCTCGAGGTTGTCCCCGGTGAGAGCATGTGCGTCATCAGTCCTCTCGCAAACATGGACTTAGTTGTGGGGGGGCCGAGCCAGGCAGGGTTCCCTAGCGAGCCGTACTCTTACCGACACTTGCAGAAGCTCTACCCCCTTTCAAGTTCTCCGAGGTACTGATGAGCGACTTGTTCGCGCGGATCCCATGCATCATTTTGTCTTGCATATCGGCACACCTGGAACTCGTGGACATGCGATTGGTCTTCGTGCCCGCGAGGTGTCGCCGATGATGTCGGTGTACGACTCGCGTCAGGAAGCCGTCATGCAAATTGGTGACGAAGCTCTATGCGACTTGGCTACTCATTGGGACGATGGCCGACGCCGCGTCCGCCTGCTCCGAGTGGCTGATGGAGATGGCGGCGACGAATCTCCCGATTCAGAAATCCTGGATTTGGTATCGGGCTCAGGGCGGCCGTGCGCGAAGAAGCCCGTTTGCTTGTAACGGCCCGCCGCAGCCTTTAGTTTTCCGGCGCCAAAGAAGGGGGGGGGCCAGGGCCTCCGCCCGCAGCTTGGTCGGGAGAACGGCGAGGGCGTCGGCGAAGTCAGAAGCTTACAGGAGCACGAAGTACGTGCGCCACGGGAAGCCGACGACGAAGAGCAGAGGCGACCGCGACAAGTGGCGCGTCGACCTCGAGTCCATCTTGGAAATGTCAGAGGACAAGCTCTACCGCCGGTGCGTCCGTGATAAGATCCTGGACAAAAAGAAGGGCAAGCTGTGTCCTCGCTTTTGCAAATGTCAGGCGAAGCGGAATCAACATATGCGCGCTTGCTGAAATCAACAGAGAAGTTGAACGCAGCGCCGCGATTCCAGCGGGCGTGACTGTTGATTCGGTTTCGCGTAAAGGTCGGCTGGGCTGCATGCGCAAAGTCAAGGGCCGCGGCCTGCGGTATAGGTGCGGCCGCAACGGCTGCCAGAAGTACACAGTGCCGCGCGCTCGCCATCTTTTTTTCTTTCAATTTGAGTGGTAACATGCTTGCGCCATTCAAGAAGCAGGTGACGATCTTGTTCAGCATCTTAGCAGGGGGCTGCAATCCCACAATTCGCAGGATGTTTTCCTCTGCCAGCCACAAGATAATCGAGAGGATTTCGTTCGCCGTCAAGAAGCAGCATGGGAAGTTCGTCAAGCAGCGCGAGCGTGCTATCGTGTTCGGCGCTGGCGACGATCGAGATTGGAGAGACGTCGAAGCAGATGAAGCAATTTTCGGCAAAGCAGCAAAGGCAGACGACCCCGAGAACGTGGACTGGGAGCAGTGGGCAGGCATCGTTGAGTGAGGCCGACCCAAGTCGCTCGTGTTGAAAAAGACCCACGCTACTTGCACGGCGAAACGGGATCCTGGACCTGGCGCGATCAAGAAGGCCGACTGGGCGCCCCTGGCCAACCGCTTTTCGAGGGCGGCGCGTATCCTGCATGCGGATCGCGCTGAGGGCTACGCCATCCGAGTCGACGGGGTGCTGCGCGGTTCGGTGCGGCACTGCAAGAAGAGAGTCAATAATAACGGGAAGTGGGTGTGGATGAAGCCGTGCTACGCGCGTTTGGCAACGCATAAACGTCCGAATGGTAGAAAGTTGCGGTCTAAAGCGGGCTCACAGATAATTGACCGTGCTTGGAGGTTTATTCGCTCAAGTTTGGAAGGGCAGACGATGGTGCCAAATTCTGAGAACGCGGCCACTGCAATTCGGAGCGCCCAGTGGCCTTGTTGGCACAGAAGCAAAGACCTTTGGGCTGAGATGGGCTCCGCGCTCTGTTCTAATGCTTGGCGGAGGTAGATGAGTTACTGCGGACATTGATTGTGATCCGTTTCTGCACTTGAAAGACGTGGCGCTTCAATGCTTAGAGCACTTGCATCGAACATGTTCGTCGCCATCTTTCATCGTATTGGGAGCTTCTAGATTTTGGTGTGTTTCGTTTTTTTTTTTTTTTTTTTTTTTTTTTTTTTTTTTTTTTTTTTTTTTTTTTTTTTTTTTTTTTTTTTTTTTTTTTTTTTTTTTTATTATTATTATTTCAATGTTTATTTTTATTTTATTTTTATATATATAATTGTTGTTGTTGTTGTTTGTGATTGTTGTTGTCTTGGAGGCTAACCTATGTATGTATGTATGCATCAAATTATGTATGTATGCCGGTATGTATGTATGTACGCATGCATGCATGTATGCATGTATGCATGTATGCATGTATGCATGCGTTCATATTTGCATGTATGCATGTATGCATGCATGCATGCATGCATGTATACATGTATGCATGCATGCATCTATATATATGCATATATATACATATATATGTATATATACATATGCATGTTTGCATGTCTGCATTCTTGTATGTATGTATGCATGCATGTATGCATGCATGTATGTAAGTATGTCTGTATGTCTGCATGCATGTATGTATGCATGCATGCGTGTACGCATGTATGTATGTATGTATGTATGTATGTATGTATGTATGTATGTATGTATGTATGTGTGTATGCATGTAGTAATGTGTGTATATGTACGTATACACGCATATCTCTTCATGTGTGTTTACTAACTTCTACACATGCATACATACATGTATCACATGTACATGTATATGTATATGTATATATATATATATTTATATGTATATATATACATATATATACATATACACGGTCGGCGAGTCGGAGTCGTGCCAGGGGGCCGGAAGGAACGGTGGATGATGGGGACAACTGCTCGTCCCCTGCTGGGCAGGATGCGTATCTATGTGTTCATGTATACATCTGTGTATATACATACATATGCAAACAGTCGGCGAGTCGGAGCCGTGCCAGGGGGCCGGAAGGAGTGGTGGCTGATGAGGGCACCTGCTCGTCCCACCGCTCCCCAGGGCCCCGGGCCGCGACCCCAGGCGTGTGCGGATCCGGCTGCGGCATGGCTCTGTGCCGTGCCGCCGTGGCGGCGGCCCCGCCGCGGGCTTCTCAGGGTGAAGCGCCGCCAGTGGCCCAGAGTCGGCCAGTGTGGAGCGATCGAGCGATCTCACCAACCACCGAGCCACCCAAACCCAACCCGAAGACCTCAATGAGCCCTCCATTTCCAGTTGGGGGGGGCGGGGGTCGAGGAACATTGAGAGAACACATCTGGAACCCGTGCCTCCCCCAACCCGAAGTGCGGGTCTTCGGGCTGGGTTGGGGTGATCGGGTAGGTTGTCACGATCTGGCACGTGAAAGGAGTGAGGTGCAGTAGCTGACTCAAGTCGGCGGCGGGCGAGGGGGGGGAAGTGAGAGAAGGAAAAGGCCTCCTCAGAAGGCGGCGGGGCTTCTCAGAAGCCCTCGCGCCGTTTGAGAAGTCCCGCCGCCTTCCGGGAAACTTGGAAGAACTTGGGAGCCCTCCCGCTGCCTTCTGTGTCTTCGGAGAAGGCTTAGAAAACATTCCAGAAAGTTGGTGGACTTCCGAGCCTTCAAAGAAGGCCCACCCCTTCTCACTTCCCCCCTGGGCTCGCCGCCGATTAAGACGTGGACGATTTTTGTTGCTACGCGCGGCCCAGCACTCTGCTATGATGGGATGTGGCCTCGGTGCTGAGTGCTCTCCGCGCTGCAAGATTTAGAGCCGCACATCAGAGTGGTGGGCCGCGCATAGCAGCCAAAATCGTCCACGTCTTGAGTCAGTTACTGCACCTCATTTCAGCGGACGGTTCCAGGTTGAACGATTCACGCGGTGCCAGAAGCCAGCGCCGGGGTCGTCCCGGCACAAACCTGCCGTCTGCCTCTGGCGTGTACAGGACGAGCCCTCCTTGGGCGGCCGCACCCACTTCACAGTCCTCATCTACCTGAACGGCGGTGACCAGGATTCGCTCGAGAACCAGCTCAAGGGCGGCGAGACTGTGTTCTGGAAAGACCGGGGAGGCAACCCGACGACGGTTGCGCTGTCGTTTCCGCCAACCCGAGGCATGTGCATGTTCCACGGTCACGGGGACGAGTGCATGATCCACGAGGGTGCGACGGTGCTGGACGGCGTGAAGTACGTCCTGCGCACCGACGCTGTGTACGAGCACGACCCGTAATACCTCGGTAGCTTTGGTAACGACGGCCGTCCGACCGTTGTCCGCACTGTCTGCGCGTGGAATGGGTAAGGCCCTGCTTCTTACTCTGGTTTGCCCTCCGTCGAGCCTCAAGCATCGTCCTCCGCGGCCGCATGTCTCCACTGCTCCTGGTTGTCTCCGTCCTCTTGGCTCATCTTGGCTGCACTTCCAAAGCTTCTAATGGGTTGGACTTCCTGTGCTCAGGTGCCGCCTTGTCGTGTCGCCGCTGCCGCTGCTGCTGCAACGGATGCCGCCTCTGCGGCGACTCTTGCGGTTCTCCTTCCTCGGCCCTGTCCCCGTCTCCCTTCTCCGTCCTTCCGCCCCCGCTCACGCCTCCCGCGGCTGCTGCTTTGAGCATGCAAAGAGGGCAGAGCCTTAAGTCGGGCCTGTTCCTCTACAGGGGGAATCTTCAAACATAGACAATCGTTTTATTATTCTTATTCTTGTTGTTGTTGACGCTTCGCGAATCCCCACCAGCCCATCCAGAAACGATGCCCAGAGGAATTGCCTCGATCAGGGAAGTGGGCAGCACACAGAGGAGGCCATTATGAGACATCTTGGGATATCTTCAGCCATCTTGGAGGTCATTGTGGGCTCTCCCAGGCGCTCTTGGAGTCATCTTAATCAGTGCCCCCCCCCCCCTAAGAGGCCAACATGTGGCTAACACCTTTTTGTAAAATCAATGATTTGGCATTCTCGCCGAGGCCTCTTGAAGCATCTTGGGTGCTTCTGGGGGGTCTTTTGGGGCCTCTTGGGGGTCTCTTGGGAGCCTCTTGGGGGCATCCTGGGGGCCTCTCGGGGCTTCCTGGCCACCTCTTGGGGCCCTCTTGGGGCACCCTTGGGATCCTTGGGGGGCATCTGTGGGCCATCTTGGGTGAGATCGATCACATGAGGGGGGGTACTAATTACAGCCCCCCCCTCAGGAGGCCAAACTTTGGCCAAAACCATAGTACAACCAATGATTTTGGCTTCCTCGCCGAGGTCGTTTTGGACGCTCCGACACCTCGCGAAACCCTCTGTCCAGGTCCATGGGGAGGGGGTAGGGGGAGGGGCAAACCCTTCCCCGAAAGGGAAGAAGGAGGGGTGGAAGAGGAAACGCTCTAAACCACCGACGCCCAGAGGGCTGGTGGGATGATGATGATGATGCTGATGATGATGATGATGATGATGATGATGATGATGATGATGATGATGCTGATGATGATGATGATGATGATGATGATGATGATGATGATGATGATGATGATGATGATTATTAGTATCATGACTATTATTCTTATTCTTATTCTTATTCTCATTATCATTACCTTTATCATTATTATCAATATCATTATGATCATTATTATTAGTAGCATGATTATGACCACTATTATTATCTTTATTATTATTACTATTATCATTATTATTACGAGTATTAGTGTTATTATTATTATTATTATTATTATTATTATTATTATTATTATTTCATGATTTCTATCAGTATTATTATTATATGGACCACTTTCGTCCACAATCTGCCTGTAGGGGGACACGCCCGACCTAAGCATAGCCCCAGCCGTCTCCGCGTGCCGCGAGCGTTCTCTCCGTTGTCGTCTTCGTCGCCGTCGCCGCCGCCGCCGTCTTCTTCATCGTCGCCATCGCCGTCGTGCTCCCGCGCTGGAGCCGCCCCGCGGCCAGGCGCCGCCGCTGCCGCCGCGTTCATCGCCGCTGGGCCTGCCCCCGCGCGCCCAGCCGCTGCCGTACGTGGAGTTGCCGGTGGGCCTCTCGGAGACGGAGGCGGGCGCGGCCACCCGCCACTCGCGCGTGGCTTACACGCCCTCCCCTCGTCGTCGTCGTCGTCGTCGCCGCCGCCGCCGTCGTCATCGTCGTTGTCGTCGTCGTCGTCGTCGTCGTCGGAGGAGGAGGAGGAGGAGGAGGAGGAGGATGAGGAGGAGGAGGAGAAGGAGGAGGAGGAGGTAGAGGTGGAGGAGGAAGAGGGGGAGGAGGAGGAGGAGGTAGAGGTGGTGGTGGAGGAGGAGGAGGAGGAGAAGGAGGAGGAGAGGAAGAGGACCCGCAGTTGACGAAGCGATCCCAGAGAAGATCCATGCAGACCGGCAGCCATTCTGCCTTCGCTGGCGCCAAAGAGGGATGCCTCACTTCGCCGCGCTGACGCAAGGACCAGGCGAGCCCGCTTTTACCCACATCGTGGCTCGCGCATTTACCGGGCAAGTCAAAGGGAGAGTGGGCAGAGTATCTGCAGCCAGCGAACCTCGCAGCAAACGGCTCTTACGTCTCGCAGGCCGAACTTGCGAGGAGACACGCTGGCCACCAAATCTCGGGATGCCAGGAGAACGCAGACTGTACGCCACCTGCCCGACCTTCGCGGGACTGGTTTCGGACGCCTTGGGGGGCTTGGCCAACTTCGTGGAACTGGAAGACTACGACGCGCCAGCTCGTGGGCGTTCCCAGTTTCATCATCACAACCGCATCATGCACTAGCCGATTTACCAAGACAGCCGCTACGGGATCACTTGCGCCGACATGGGCTTCATCTATGACACATCAACCACCGCCGCGCGCGGCGCACGTGTACGTCGGCTACTACGACAACGACCACGACCGTGCAAGCTGCTACCCCTGCTGGTACACTTCGGAGGCCGACCCCGAGCGCTCCAGCCACCAAGCGCTGGCGCAATGGCACTCCATGCTCGCTTGGCGGCCCACCAAGCAAGCAGGTGCAACGGCAACGACAGGCGACGCCCGCAGGGCAGCTTCGGGCCAGAGTCGGCTGACTTTGGGGCGCCGCCCAATATCTGCATATCGCTCTTGCGTTCCTGAAGTTCTCGGGCCACTCTGTCAATCGTTCATCGGTTGTTATTGTTGATTGCCATCGGTTCGTTGATGTTTCTAAGTTGGAAAATCCACAGGACCGGGCCCTATACCGACGCCTCGCAGCACGGCCCCGCATCAACCAGCCGGGGCCAGTTCTGTGCTGCCACCAGCGAGGGCCCAGCACAGCGCGCCTCAGCAGACGTGTCACGAGAGCCATTCGAGTCACGCTCTCAGCTCTGACCTCAACGCAGGCCGCCCGTGAGCAGGCGCATGCTTGCCTCACCACCGAACGTGGCGCAGGCTGCGCCCTTGCATCGCTGCCGCAGGAACTCCCCCCCGCAGCTGCGGTTCGGCACGCCCGAAGCCGCGGTGACGGCCTCGCTCGGCTCTGCCATGCCGACGGGGCGCCACTGCCTCGGACACCTCCACTGAGAAGTCGGCTGGCGCCACATGCATTTCCAGGCCTCGCTTCGAAAGCGTCACCGACCCTGGAGTCCACACTCAGCTTTGCTCACGAGGCACGCCTTACTGCGGCAATGCGGAATGTCTCTCTGCACCCAACTAACTGCGCCAGGAACCGATACTCTGGGGCATCGCACTCTCCAGTATTTCGAACACCGACTCCACTCGGCACACGATACTGCCACTCCACTCGGCACACGATACTGCCACCCACGCCGACTTCGACTCCTCATTTCCATGCAGTACCTCCTCCTGGAAGGGATCTGCAACGGTCCTCCAGAGCGTCCTCGAAGAGGTGCTAACACCGCTCGGCCGCTGCCAGGACTCGGACGCCGTCGGTCTTGGGCTTCAAACGGGAGGATGCCCAGGCGGCGCATGGACGACCATCTTTCGATGTCCATGCTATACCGCTGGTGCAGTCCTGACCCCGCGCTGCAAGGGGACAAGGCGCAGCTGGCAGCCTGCAGACCCACCGAGCTGTTTCATGCCGTTGCTGTGGACATCATGAATCTTGCAACTGGCCTGCTCTGCAGTGTCGTACGCCTTGGCCGCGGCAGCCGTGGGCTCTAGACTAGCAGCTTCAGGACCTTTCGAAGAGCACGAAAGCACACATGGCCGCCTTGTCCTCCTCCTCCTCATATTCGTGGCAAGTGGAAGCGTCAGAATACCATTCGCTTCCAAACTTTGGTTTGACCGACGAGGTCTCTAATTTGGATCTCCACCGCCTCATGCGGACCAACTGGAGTGACCAGCTAAGCCATGCGGGTTCCTTGCGGGGCATCGAAGCGCGTGAGGCGTGTGCCGAAATCTGATACCATGCCGCTCAGGCCTTCGGTGGAGCTCCCTGCAGAGCCACGAAGCGTGTGACACGTGTGCCGAAATGGGCGGGGGAACGCTAGGCGGCGGCACCTTGCCACTGAGGTGTTCGGGCCACGGAGCGTGTGAGGAATGCGTCGAAATTCACAGCGGGACGCTATGCGGCACCGTGCCACGGAGGCCGTCGGTGGAGGTCCCAAGGGGCCGGTACAACGTGCGAGGGGTATTCTGGCACGTGCAAGGGGTGACGCTTTTCGGCACCTTGCCACTGAGGCCTTTGGTGGAGCTCCGCATGTGGCCACGCAAAATGCGTGATGAGGTGGGCTGGTTGCGAGAGGACGCTGTGCGTTGGGGGTGTCGGTGGGGCCACGAAGCGTCTGACGGTTGTGCCAAACTTGGCAGGGGAACGCTACGCTCCCTGGGGGCTTCGGTGGAGCTTTCTCTGGGGCCATGAGGAGTGTGGAGCTTCGGTGGAGGTCCTCATGAGGCAGCAGACCGTGTGAGGGGTGTGCCGAGATTGGCGGGTGGATGCTGTGCGGCCACATCCCCGGGGGGCATCGGTGGAGCTCCCTGTGGGGCCACGAAGCGTTTCAGGGGTGTGCCGACATGGGGGGGGGTGCTACACCCCCTGGGAGCTTCGTTGGAGGTCCCTGCTGGGATACGAGGCGTTTGAGAGGTGTGCTGTGGGTCCACATCCCCTGGGGGCTTCTGTGGAGCTCCCTACGGGGCCACGCAACGCGCGATGGGTGCGCCGAAATTGGAAAGCGGAGTGCAGAGGAAGGAAGGATGAAGCAGCGGGAGGTGAGACGCGCAGCGCGGCGGACTCAAAACGAGGGCCCCAACACCCCAGGATGGTTGAGAAGCACTATGAACAAGTTAAATCAGTTATCATG